ATGTATGACTCATATTTTTCTTTTAAGGCTTCATAATATTTGGCATCGTTTTGTGGTCTGCCCTCACCTCAGGACGATTTTTTTTCGGTGACGTTTTCTTCATGTTCATCGCCTCTAAATTCACCGCCAGCCTGGTACTACCATGTACTACCATAAATGTAAAAGTTCGCCTTATAATTTCCAGCGTTTTGTCTATAAACAGAATAAAGTCTTACGACTTAGTAGTCGTTGTTAGGTAAAAACAAAAACAACTCAAAAGAAAACTGTCACAAGCAAAACGAAATAAACGTCAACAACAAAATGAATTACAAAAAGAAAGAAATACAAAAAAAGAAATTAAGTTTGGCTAACAAAAAAGGAGACACACAAAAAAATGGTATTAAAAGAAAAATCAAAGCATTAAACTGAAAATCAAAAGTTCCAAAAATTTCAGAAAGAAAACAAAAAATAAAACGATTAACTTAACGTCAGTTGACTGTTCTTCAAAAAACAAATCCTCGTCAAGCAAAACTTAGCTGGACTAGAAAAAAAAACCCAACGTGATGCCAGTATGGTAATTGTCTTTCAAAATAAATCCGTTCAGCTAGACAAGTCACTGTAATAGTATATTTATTCTTTGTAAATAATACAAAAAAAAAGAAAAAGAAAAAAAAGTGGCACAAAGGCGAAGAGGAAGTGGGAAAGGGATTGGTCCTTAGTAATTATCCTAGTCTTAGTTACTTACAATCACGACCCATTCATTCAATATAATCTAATATGTTCAATCACCACAAGAACTTGCCCATTTTCATTCCTACACGTACCATAGTACAACATATTCACAAGGGGCCTACAAAACACCCCATGATGTAAAAATTTGTTCAGTTCATGATAAAATATATAAAAATTGTCTTGATGATTGTCTATAATATTATTAACTGCTTTAGTTTCTATAAAATATCATCAATGTATCTTATGTAAATTCTGAGTATATTTATTAATTACTAATTCTCAAGATGTGCCATAAAGAAGTTATAGAATAAAGGACCTTAAAAATCAGCCCATGTTAAAAACCATCAGACTGGGTATCAATATTTAACTTCCTTAAATGGAATATGTATTGTGCTAATTACGATCAGATTTCTTTTTTTTATAATTGTAGAATTGATTTTTAATGGTGAGAGATAAGAATGGTGTAATGTTCAGCAAGTTTGTTTCTCTAGGTCACTTAGTAGTGACATCGCTCCTCACTAGGTGCCCCATACTTTCGGTCATGTTCCACATCTAAGCTTCGCTTTGTAAATTACTATATTCTTTAGTGTTGTTTCAGAATTGTTTTTTTTGCGTGTATATATATATATATATATATATATATATATATATATATATATATATATATATATAGTCATCCACAGACACTGTTTCGCTGTATCCGAGCTCATCAGTATATGGCTAGACATGTGATTGCTTCAAGCCGGGATCGAAACCCAATTAATCAGTAGGACAGTCTCACGCTACAGAGAAATGGAATTTTTAACGCAATATATACGAGATATAAGCATTACTGACAAACAGAGGGCCCATTTCATAAAGAAGAACTTTTAGCATTAGTCATCAGTAGCCGAGAAATTCCCTTTTTTTTTTTCTCATCCCTTGTGAGACGGAGTATATATATATCTATATATATATATATATATATATATATATATATATATATATATATATATATATATATATGCCGGCTGTAGCAGCAAAATTGTCCAAAAAATGTAACAGCATAATTGTTTATCTCATTTCATATAAGACGTTTAACCATCTTGATACCATTTGTCGTAAGAATCCCTGATAAAAAGCTTTGAGTTATTAAGCTTTGTGAAGGGTAATTCGTAATTTGGAGAGGAAGATGGACGCATTAAAAAAACTCACGACTCTTTAATGTGATATCTGAAAGCTATTCACCAATATTGCACCGACAATCAGTAAATAGATTCCTGACTTTGGATAAATTCAAATTAAAGTCAGACATAACAACTCTTGCCAAAACAATTACATTTATTTTTAACCTCTGAATGAAGGTGCGTCCTGGGTAAGACGTTAAACTATATCCGCGTCCAGCAGCAAGGCCGGTGATCAGGAGGTTTTGAGGAGCGTGGAACCACCTCTTAATTTCTACTATTCGCAGGTTCACCCTAATCAAGGGTGGTAGCACCTGTTAGGGTCCCAGATTTGGACAATAGTTAACTATTACCAGCAATACTTTACTGAAAAAATTATTACCAGCAATATAATTTTGAAGGAAATATATTACCAGAAACAGATTTTTGGCACAAGAAAATATTGCCAGCAATAAAAATTTATGTCAGCATTAAATAACCCATTGAAGTTGATATGCCGTAAAACAAAATAAACCAAACCAATCTAAACCAAAGAATACATACTCTATTCATACGAATCTATCCTAAAAATATTGTCAGCATTAAATAACCCATTGAGGTGTTGATATGACGTAAAACAAAATAAACCAAACCAAAATGAATGAAGGTTTCTCCTACAAAGAAGGACACAGGCGTCGGAGGGCTCATATTCTTTTATTCATAAGATTTCTCGAATATTCAAGCCTGTAGACGTAAATAAATAATATGATGTTTAATAAATAAACGGAACGTCTACTTAAATATGGGTATCTCCTAAGAGTAATGGTTTAAAGTGATAAAATATGTCTGATTAATAAATTAAAAAAAAATCATTACTTCTTTAGAAATTGTTTCTTTACACTATTTACATTATTCGGACTATTGTCCTCGTCTTTGTTTTCATATTTATCACAACGTTTCGGCCGTTGTACGCTGCGGCCTTCTTCTAGTGGTTGGAATGTCGAACTGAGCCCTTTATTTCTATCGCTGGCACAGTTGATAAAGGCGTTGGTTAGATCCAGTGACAGGACCCAAAGAGTTGTGAGTTCAATACCTGGTTAAGGCAGTGGACAGCTTGAATTAACAAGAGATAACTGACAACTGTCATCCATTAGACATGGCACGTGGAACTAGGACAGTCTACTTCAGCGAGCGAAATAAAGGGTTCAGTTCGACATCGCCCCCCGAAGAAGGCCGGAGTGTACAACGGCCGAAACTTTGTGATAAATATGGCAACAAAGATGAGGACAATAGTCTGAATAATATAAATAGTGTATATAATACTTCACCTCAGAAATATAGACAGATGTTTTGTTTACGTTCAGATACGAAATTGAGTAGATATGAACGTTCGAGAATCTATGAAGGAATTGCTCTTTGCTTCATCGGCGGGGCCCTTACTGGCTGAGCTGTTCTAACGCACACCAGATCTAACGACAGTTTCTCCTGTTTTACAAATTAACTGACCGTCTACTTAGCTATGCATATGCTCTAAAAATAACGTTTAAAGTACATATGTTGGCTTGACGGCTAAAACATTGTCAAGACGTCTTATACTTCATTTGTCGGATAAAAGTTCTATTGCACAACATCTAAAAACATATTCCTGTCAACCCTCATAATAAACGGGAAATACTTGCTGACGACACCAATATACTACACCAGGAAAACAATGAACAAAAACTTCAAGTTCTCGAGGCCCTCTATATCAAAATCAACCAAACAACACTCAACAAAATTTAATACGAATATAGCAACAACATATTAAAGTGCATATACATTTAATGTTATTTAATATTTCTGCCAATTTCCAGTCGGCTCCCTTATACTGAAACGCTTGATTTTTTAAAAAAATTCCCTAACTACAACGGATAAATCTAAAATTTTAAAATAACTATAACAAAGCGCGTTCGTGTGTGTGTTTTTTTTCAAAATCACCATCAGAAAGGAATGATGATTTTATTGCAGTTACAATAAGTTTGTTTTTGTAATTTACTCTTGAAGATGATCTTCGGAAAGATTCAAAGTACTTGGGTTAAAAAAAACTACGACGCCTTCCTTGATGAATTTCATCTTAGTATCAAGAAACTGGTTAGACAACTGGGAAGATCAGTATAAAAATAAGTCGACACGATATGTCTATATTATTAATGAAACATTCTTGAATAAAGATATGCCGCCTACACAAACACACACACATATATATATATATACAAAGTTCGTGTGCACTTAAAAAAAATTATAACTTTATTTGTATTTGCGATAGAAATAATCTGTAAAAAATGTTTTGAAGTTTTTATGTACCTAGTTTTAAGTATAGCTAAAATAACTAATGTGATTTCAGGCATTACTGTAAATCAGTTGGCAAATATTTTCCGTGAACTGCACAATCGTATTACCCTTTGTATTGCTAATGATGGAGGACATGTGGAAACTTAAATAAAATTTCAATAAAACCTTACAAAATATAGATTTACTTCTTTTTAATCCTTTTTACAAATTATTTCTATCGCAAATACAAATAAAGTTATAATTTTTAACGTGCACACGAACTTTATGGACACCATATATATATATATATATATATATATATATATATATATATATATATGCATTGGAGTGGAGGTAACAAGAATGCGTTATTTATAATAGTCTTGCAATTAGTGTTTGATCTGGCTTGACAGTCGACTCCAATGCTACTATAAATAATTACGCCTTGAGGCATCCAATATTTTCGACAGCGTGAACAATGTTTGGAATACGCCAAATATTTTAGTAAGATCCATAGAAAGGCTTTATTTTTTTTATTTTTTTTTACTTTTTAGAATTTTAGAACGGAAAGAGTTGAAATTCTTAATCAGAAAAAAAAATGCAATTTGTCTATCTCTGACCTTAATGACCGAATATTAGACGGGTGTCTGGAGATCACAGGAATAGATTAACTACTGGGAAAAAAAATTACAGTTGAGTTAATCAGAGAAAATATTCTTTGCTTCTGAATAAAAAAAAAAGTTGCTTGACGACCTGAATTTAACTGAAGTCTGATAGAAACAGTAGAATTCTTTGATTAGAAGACAACAGCCACATTCCTCACCGTTTATATTAAATTTAGTTGCCTTCCAGACTTGCGACAATTTCAAATATGAGGTTTGGACGCGTTAAATGAAACAGAAATTTGGGAAGAAGGCGAAAACGACATTGATTAAGACAGAAAAAAGATAGATTGAGTGGGAGAGAATGAGATACATTGTAAAGTAGAGAAAGAGATAACGTGGTACAATGAGAAAAAGAGAAAGAGATACACTGGAAAATAGAGAGAGAGGGAGAGAGAGAGAGAGAGAGAAGTAGAGAAGGTGAGAAAGATATATAATAAAAATCAATGAAAAAGATAGATTGAGTGGGAGAGAATGAGATACATTGTAAAGTAGAGAAAGAGATAACGTGGTACAATGTGAAAAAGAGAAAGAGATACACTGGAAAATAGAGAGGGAGAGAGAGAGAGAAGTAGAGAAGGTGAGAAAGATATATAATAAAAATCAATGAAAAAGATAGATTGAGCTATGTGTTCTCAAGGGCACATGGTTCAATGGATAAAGACATTGGCTAGATCCAGTGACTAGACCCAAAGAGTTGTGAGTTCAATACCAGGCCACAGCAGTGGTGAACCAAAACTTGGAGAGTTGAGTTAAAGGGTAAATAGCTGAGACAAGCGGAAGAGGCATGGCATGTAGAATTAGAACAATCTCCTCCGGTGGAAGAAACAAAGTGATCGGTTCAAAATTCCAATTACCTGAAGAAGGCCGGAGAGTACAACGGCCGAAACGTTTTGAATATGGCAATGAAGATGAGGATAACTGTCCGAATAATATAAATAATGCAAGTAATACATTTAGAAATAGTAAAGGAGAGAGAGAGAGAGAGAGAGAGAGAGAGAGAGAGAAATAAATAAATACAGTGAGAGTAGAGAAAGAGAAGAATTGATATTTTATTTATTTCATTTGTCACATCAGAACTTCAAAAGAGATAGTTGTATCAGAGGTTTGATAGAGAAGGTATTCTCATAGACTCCAAGTGCAGAATCGGGCCTCAAATATCTCTGTGGCTTCATCGACATAAAAAGGAAATCAACCTAGCTGAACTTAGTATATACGACCAAAAAAAAAGAAGGAAGACAGGAATTTACCTATTTACATTATTGACATCGTTCGGACTGTTGTTCTCATCTTTATTGTCATGTTCACGACGTTTTGGCCGTTGTACGCTCCGTTCTTCTTCAGGTGATTGGAATTCGGAGGAGGCATGGCACTTGTAACTAAAACTGAGATATATGGTTCAATTCGAAATTCCAATCACCTGAAGAAGGTCGGTGCTTACAACGGCCGAAACGTCCTGAACATGACAATAGAAATGAGAATAGTTTGAACAATGTAAATAATTACAATACTTCATCTCAGAAATATAAACAAGTAATGAATTTATCTAAACAACGACTCAAGAGGGAAAGTCGACGCTGTCACATGCTTGCGAACTGATTAAAGTCTGAAGAAAATTCCCCAAAAGTCGCCCACCCTCCACGGCTGACATTAATTCGACTGAATCCAGAATTGAATAAACAATTATTTAACGGGCGAAAACCTTAGTAGTTTATTCATATCAGGCGTTAATACACTATTTACATTATTCGGACTATATTCCTCATCTTTGTCGTATATTTATTACAACGTTGTACGCTCCGGCCGTCTTCAGGTAGTTAGAATGTCGAGCTGAACCCTTTATTTCGCGTTCCACGTGACATGTTTAATGGATGTCAGTTATCAGTTATCTCCTGTTAATTCCCCTCCCCAAGTTCTCCACTGCCTTAACTAGAACAATCTACCCCAGTGACCGAAATAAAGGGTTCAGTTCGACATTCCAATTACCTGCAGAAGGCCGGGGCGTACAACGAGCGAAACGTTGTAATAAATATGGCGACAAAGATGAGGACAATAGTCTGAATAGTGTAAATAGTGTACATAATACCTCATCTCAGAAATATAGACAGATACTGAAGGGCCGAAACCTTGTAATAAATATGGCAACAAAGATGAAGACAATAGTCCGAATAATATAAATAGTGTACATAATACTTCATCTCAGAAATATAGACAGATACGGAAGGGCCGAAACCTTGTAATAAATATGGCGACAAAGATGAGGACAATTGTCCGAATAATGTAAATAGTGTACATAAGACTTCATCTCAGAAATATAGACAGATACAGACGTTGATAGAATATCGTTGCAAGTGTTGCATTAAACGATGTTTGGTTAGACTAGAAACCACATGTTTCTTACCAACATATCTGTTGTCGATCCATAAATAAAAAAAAAAAAATACTCATCTTTACACAGTAACATCTGTTTTTTTTTTTACTGTATGTTACAGCGATTTTATTTTGGGTCTAAAGTCAAGTAGCAATGAGATTTCTCAATCGTTGTACAACATTAGCAAGAAATGAGATCACAGTAATATCCAATGATTTTCCTCCAGATATCAAACAATCAGAACAAGCAATACTTGTAAAATATTAATTAAATCGGAACTTCTTCTTGAAATTCAAATTCTTAATTTAGATAGTTTTCCCGGCTAGAATCTATCTTAAATATTTATAAGATCCAAAGAAGAATCTGCAATGTTATCAGTCCTGATCCGGTATCGCGACTCTAGTCCGTAATGAAACATTCCTGCACCTTTTTCTAGAAATTTTTGCGTTTTTTATATAAATATTTTCATGGTAATTGTTCTGATGAGCTTTCCTTAGACTTTACGAATTTAAGTGTTGTACTAGATTGACAGATAGGTCTCAACATTTTACAATAGGAATTGCTAGATGTAACCGTAAGTTCTATGCTGACAGTTTCTTCTTTTGCACTTCTCAGTTATGGAACTCTCTTTCGTCGTCTTGCTTCTTCCCGTCTTCTTAATTCTCATTATTTTATTTTTCTCTCTTTTCAATAATGTGTCTTAGTGACAAAGTATACGGATACAGGAAAATTTAGAAAGAAAGTAAATGAACTGCTATATAACATCCGTCTTCTTAACTGACAATGAATGTTGGAGATTTTCCTCAGAGGTGTTGTTCTGCAGAAGGATGCTGAGAATAAAATGGACGGATTATGTAAAATACGAGAAAGTTTTAAGGAAAATGGAAACAAAAATATGACATATTCAGAATAAGAAAGAAACATTTTAATATTTACGACATATAATGAGGAAAGAGGACTTGGAAAAATGACACTCACAAGACATAATGAAGGCAGAAAAAACAGAAGAATAGAAGCCGGTAACCAGTCTAACAAACCTGTGTATAAATAGATGACCGAACAGAATAGGAAATATAGTAAAAAAATATTCCTAGGAGTTAAAAAGGATAAGTAGTTGTGGAGAGCCATGATCGTCTGTGGCATCAAGGGGCAGAAATCATGAAAGATGATGATTAACTGTGAATGGCAGGAATTTCCCTGATTCAATTTCGACTAACGGAATTTGTTTTGCCCGGCGTCATCAGTTAAAATATGTAACCTAACATCAATTAAAAAAAAAAAAAATTAATAAAAAAAAATGAAATTGCCATTTCGTCCTGGGTATGAAGATAAATTACATCCGCGTCCTGGGTCTGACGATAAACTGCATCCGCGTCATGGGTAAGACGGTAAATTGCATCCGCGTCCTGGGTATGACGATAAACTACATCCGCGTCCTGGGTATGACGATAAACTGCATCCGCGTCCTGGGTATGGCGATAAACTACATCCGCGTCCTGGGTATGACGATAAACTACATTCAACAGCAAGGTCTCTGACCAGGAAGTTTTGGGAAGCGTGAAAATACCTCTTAATTGCTGATGTTCGCAGGTCCATCCTGACTCGGGCTGGTAGCACCTGTTATGGTCCCAGCTATGGACAAATAGTTAACCCCCTAAACTGGGGTCAAAACGTGTAAAAATAGGTTGTATTACCAGCAATACATTTTTGTAAACAAATCATTACCAACAATGAATTTTTGAATAAAAATTCATCAGCAATACATTATTACCAGCAATACATTTAAAAAAAATACCTGCAATGCATTTCTGGAAAACTATTACCAGCAATACATTAAAAAGAATATTACCTGCAAGACATTTTGAAACAAATATTACCAGCAATAAAAAAATTTGTAGGCATTAAATAAACCATTGAGGTTGCTATGTCGTAAAACAAACCGAACCAAACCAAAAAACATCTGCATTTTTGAAAACGAGTCTTTTCGAAATTCACAGATTATTGCAAATAGCAGCTGTGATTCTTTGCTAAAAATTAATAAAAACTTTTCAGGAATAAAGAATAAATGTTTGAATCACTTGTAAGTGAAAAATCGTTCAATGTTTCAATTCAAACAAAGTTTCATTTCGAGTCTTCAAAATATTAAGTAAAAAGGAAGATTAAACTAATCTTTCTAAAGCTGGATATGTGGATAGTGTTATTTTTATACTAATGTTCACACAACACAGGGTCAAAAAGCCACTCAAAGTGGCGGGTTATTGTGTGGTATTGTATGAGCGTAAGAGAAGGCAAGAAGTGAATTCCATGAGAGGAAAAGAGAGGAGTTAACCTGAGACTTGAAAAGGTTAAGATTTTAGCGATCGAGAAAACATCCTGCTAGAAGTCTGTTTCAAAAAGCAGCAGATTTTGGAAAAAAATGTCCAAATAGAACTTAAATGGAATACGAAGTGAATTAAGATGTAAGAATTCACTTGAAATGTGGCTCCTTTTTCCATGAACCAAATCTACCCACTTCGGCCAACAGGACATAATGTAGTGAAAAATTAAAAAAAAAGAAGAAGAAAAACCTATGCGAGGCGACAATTGAGATGCGGATTATAGGAAGATAAAAGATAAAAAAATAGGTAAGGAAAATAAAAGAAGTTAAGGAAAAAAATGAGTTTAAGAACAAAAGACAGAAAGGAAAAATTCAATTATATTAATTTACAAAAAAAGAAAGAAAAAGCAAACAACAGCGAAAATATATATATAAATCTAGATGGTGTCCCTAAAGCCCGGACACACAGGAAATCTTATTAATTATATTCTTTACCTCCACATGATTTACAGTCAGAAAAGGTATATATATATATATATATATATATATATATTTATATATATATATATATATATATATATATATATATATATATATATATATATATATATATATATATATATATATATATATATATATATATATATATATATATATATATATATATATATTCAAACATATATTATTAAATATAACAGACAACGAATGTCTATGATGTTTGATCATGAGCCATTTTACCTCCACATATTAAACAAGGTTTTCTCGAGAGAAGAAAGAATTGACTTTTTTTTCTGGGGTTTGCTAAAGGAGAAGGTGTAATCAATGAAAATCACTTGAATGGACGAATAATGAGTGAATGCTCTAAAACTGACGGCAATGTGGAGTTATTGCATCGAGTTCATGTGAATCTTGCAAAGCGCATCAACCTTTGCATCACAAATGATGGAAATCATATTGAAGATGTTATTTGTTAATATTCCAGCTCAATAAAATGTTGAAAATTTCATTTGTTGAAAATAAGCATTTTTGCCTAAGTCCAGACTTTAGACACACTTTGCTCAGATAAAACTTTATACAGTGAAACTTTCAGATCACATTTCAGTTAATAAATGGTTGTCAATCTATGTACCTGCAGATAAACCCTGAACAGTTACAGAGTGTTTGTCTTTGATCTTACATGGCGGAAGCAATCTTCTTTTGTATCTGAAGCCAGAGGCTATTGGTTCAAGTAAGAAAATAATAATATTTAGAAGCTTTTACATCAACCGAGACTAAATTTTAATTTATACAAGAGAGTACCCTTCGATGCTGGTACGATACCACCAAGAAATTTCCTTTGACTTGCAAAATGCAATGAAAGAATTTTAATCATTATATTACTACAACCAATAACTCTTCAGTACTCTCTTACATGGGGTATCCCTAAAATCTGAACGCATGGGAAATCTAATTAACTATATTTGTTTTACCTCCACAGATTAAACATCGTTTTGTTGAAAGAAGAATGAATTGACTTCTTTTTCTGGAGTATGCTAAAGGTGAAGGTGTACTCAGTGAAAATAACAGATGCAACACACTTGATTGAACACATACAGATTGAATGTGCTGAAATTGACGTCAATGTGAAGTTATTGCATCGAGTTCACGTGAATCTTGCAAAGTGCATCAACCTTTGCATCACAAATGATGGAAATCATATCGAAGATGATATTTGTTAATATTCCAGTGCAATAAAATGTTGTTGAAAATCTTATTTCTTGAAAATATGTATATTTGCCTAGGGTGACCAAATTTTAGGGACATCCCCTGTATTTCAGTTGTCCTGAATTTAATTGATTTACTTTCCTATCAAGTTATTGCAAAAGAAAAATTAAGCCACATCTTTATTTTGAGAAAATACATATATATTGGACAACAGAGAAATAGCATAAAACTCACGACAATGATGTCCTATGTTTCATTCTTCATTTGTCTTAGCAATGTTTATACACTGAAGAAAAAAAAGTTTTTCTCATGATTAATGTGGCTTCAGTAGACAAAAAATTTCGATGGGGTTTCAATCTAAATGACTCAGCTATAATTGGTGAAACTAACTTCACCAGGCAATATCGCCCGTTACAACATTTGGAGAAAGTAATAAGAAATATATTTTGAAGAATATATGATAAAGGATTTATGATAATATTAAGGAAGATTTTGACTTTTGTTGCGTTGTTAATGTATCTATCATATATATATTATATAGGCTCACAACGAGATTCAGTTTGAAGAATCTGTCTCTAGGGTTTAATCTTTCTGAATAATTGCGTGCGTGCGTGTATGCGAGAAACAGGCAGACAGACAGAATGATAGAAGAAGAAGAAGAAGAAGAAGAAGAAGAGGAAGAAGAAGAAGAAGAAGAGAGAGAGAGCGGGAGTGAGAGAAGGAGAGAAAAATAGAAAGAAACGGAATCCTGGTGTTTAAAAGTTTTACAGGTAATGAAAACTTTTTTATATAATAAAATTTAAGAGCCAACAAGAACGACGTAAAACGGAGTTAAAACACATTTTCAAAAAAGGATCACGCATTAAAGGATTAGATAGGCATTTAGTTTTACTCAGATAATACAGTTTTCACAGAAAGCCTTTTATAAAGAGTACACAACACTAATCTTGGCAAACAACTAGGCCAAAATCAAATGTCTTTCAGTAATACAACACATGAAAAAATCCCAGAAAGAGTGAGTCCCACTTTATTGTTTATAGTTGAAAAAGAACACAGGGGTGTCCGAAAATTCCGACTCTAAAATCTTTCTGTTCGTGCTTCGGTTTAGTCAAATGACCTACTAATATATAATAAATATCATTAGTCTTATTGACAATATTCTTATCATTTTGTTGTCTTTTTATTCACCCAATTACATTAACTAGCCAATTAAATCTATAAATATATTGTATATGCCTTTATAAATAAAAACAAGGAATTAAATTATGTCGAACTGTCGGCCACTCTGACGTATTGATGTTTTGAAAAAAAAAACGTGAAAAAGAACTTCAATGCTCAAGACCGTCCAAGGAAACTAAATGTCTATTTCGAAATTCGCATTCAAATACCTGGGTTTGGATTCAGGTACACGGTATGCTGACCAGTAGTAATCTCTTAGCTTTTGTTCAGGCAGCCATTCAGGAGAAGGAAGACTTGTATATTACGCTCGCATTCAATGCTCACCTGATACTTTGCGCTTCTTGTCTATCTTTGCTACGGTTGGTGTGAGTCGTTGTTGGGCCGAATTCGATTGTCTGTCAATTAAGTTCTACTCCCAGTTATGGCTTAAATCTAAATCTAGAAAAGAAAAGAATTTAAAAAAAAAAAAAAAGAAGCTTACGACTGAATTATATGCGAAAGGAAACCGAAATTTAAAAAATTGCCACGGAAAATTAAAGACTGAGAACGACGAGGTAAGAAGATTTAAAAAAAAAATGTCATGTTTAACAAAGTTAATAAGATATAGAAAGCTTTGAAGACTTTGAGTGGTGGATAGAGAAATAGAACAAGAAAAGACTCGAAATCAAAGGAAGCTAGACACAGAGAATTTAGGCAAGATATTTGGCAAACAATGGTTTTATTTATTTATATATTTATTTATTAGGGTCGTTTAGAGGCGTGCGGTGAAAGTGTAACAGGATTTGATTAGTCCCAAACATGAAAAAGGCCGACATTATTTAACTTGGAACAAACAATGATTGAAGATTTTTGTTTTTTCACCAGAATATGCACCATTGCATTTTTTTTTGGTGAAGGATATTCTACATATCTTTTGAAAATGAAATCCCCATAAGAGTTTGCCTTGTGATATAAAAATCTACTGAAAATATTTCGCAGTGCCCCCATACACTTACGCACACACATATAGGCCTGCACACAGATCTACACATAAAAGGGTACCACTAAGCACAGATGCAGACACAATTATACATGCAAACACAGATGTACATAAATACACAGATATTTCTTATTAAAATGTGTGTGTGTAATTGAATGACAAATTGTAAAAATCTTACTTTTCGTCTTTCGTCTTTCGAAAATGTTTCTTCAGACTAATAATGGCTTTATCGGTGGAATCTTATACTTGCAGGAAGAAGAAAAAAGAAATTTAAAATAAAATTATCGCCCGTATATCTTCAGCTTTTCTCGATTTACAATAGTATCCGATGTGGTTTTTTTTTTTTTTTTTTGTATTTCTTAATCTCACATATATAAGATTCCATCGCTGGAATTACTATTTGCCCGTAAAGTCCATTCGAAAGAGTTTTTGTTTCATGTTGTCATTCAATTACAGACTGTTAGTCTGATATATTCTGACGTCTTTCGCATAGTAAAAACGTTAAATTTTACCTTCCGCTCTGACTGATAGCAAATCGGTCGGGTTTCAATCCCGGCTTGAAGCAATCGGATGTCTAAATACACTGGTGAGCTGTGATACAGCAAAACAGTCCGTCTGTGGATGACTATATTTTTTTGTTGTCTTTTTTAGTCAAAAGACCTACTAATATATAATAAATATCATTAGTCTTATTGACAATATTCTTATCATTTTGTTGTTTTTTTATTCACCCAATTACATTAACTAGCCAATTAAATCTATAAATATATTGTATATGCCTTTATAAATAAAAACAAGGAATTAAATTATGTTTTTATGTCCATCGTTTTCGTCGTGTTATACTGATTATGTTAATTGTATTTTAATGAATATTGTCCTGAAGAAGGTTATTAAACCGAAACGTCAGACGTCGACATTTCATTCATATTAAAACAAATATAATCGCATTTTAAGGATTTTTGTTTTGTTTTTCCAGATATTTTCTTCATATATATATATATATATATATATATATAAATATTTGTGTGTATATATATGTGTGTGTATATATATATATATATATATATGTGTGTGTGTGTATATATATATATATATATATATATATATATATATATATATATATTCACACAAGCTTGGTTAAATAATTTAAACATATGTCGATTTATTTTGGTTGTGATCCTTTCAAGTTCACGAATTAATTTCTTGCTTTCCTTCAAAAATTGATGAAGAAAAATGCCAACATTTTCTTTCATATAGTTTTTATTTTCCCAAATACTTTCAATATTATCTGGGACCATGTTCAGCGGGTTAAATGGTCTGTTAATTCCAAATTTAATACCAAAATAGATATTTAATACCAATATATAATATATTAAGAATATTTATCTAGAGATACTTTACAGGTTTCAGAGTTGAATGATTTTCAATATATATATATATATATATATACTATTTCATCATTTGGTCTAATTTTGAGAAGTCGGTCAAATCGAACATTTTTCAGTGCCAACTCATTTACATATATAGAGAGACGTAATGAAAATGTAAATTTTTATTTTCAAACAAATCTTCAAAAGCTTTTTGTCCCTCTTCTTTAAAATGTAGAATTCGCACAATGAAACAATTTCCAGAATATATTTTGGAAAAATTATATCAGAATTTTCCTTCGAATGAACAGACAATAATATTGTAACTATGAAAAATCGTTATTTAGATTTTGACCTCTAAACTTGTCTCAAATGCCAACTGCCGGAAGTTAACGTTAACTTGCTACTGATGTCCCCATTAAGGCAGGCCGTGACATTGATTGGGAGGAAATCGATCTATCTCTTTGCTTGTGTAAATTTGTGGACTTTTCCGAAAGTCTGTCACGAAGCCAAGCTATCAAAGGAAAGGAGATCAATAAAATCGTAGGCGAGGAAATTCTTTCTGAAGTCGTTTTAGACGAACAAATCTGACGATTGCAATAGAATGAAAGAACCAAGTCCCGGAGTTCTCTCCAAAAAATATATCAGCTTCATGCAAACAAAAGTTTCTTTTATTGCAGATTATTAGTCTGTCATCAGTGAGAGCTGTAGTCAAACTTGGATTTTACAATAAATGAGATGAGAACATTGGCGATGACAGGTGAATATAGAAATTGGAATTGACTGTCATGATGTTGAATTGTAACTTTCAAGTCTAAACAAAAAATAAATTTTGAACGAGAAAGGATAATGGTCAGCTGGGATACAATCTCAGACGAAAAAAAATATATAGCTTATTTAAATTCAATATTCGAACCTCCAAAACATTGTTAGTTACTTTTAAGTATCAAACGTAACACTGACTTCTCATTTTAACAGATTTATTTACTTAAAAATATCTTGGGATGCTAAAAAGTAAAATTATTCAATAAAATCGATACTGGCTTCAACCATGGCATTCAGACGACTTAGGAATTGCTTGCAACTTTTCTGGTCGTCCTGGGTAAGACGATAAACTACGTCCAGCAGCAAGGCCTCTGATCAGGAGTTTCTGAGGAGTGTGGAACGACCTCTTAATTGCTGGTGTTCTGAGGTCCACTTTGGCCCGTGGTGGTAGCACCTGTTAGGGTCCAAGCTATGGGAAAATTGTTAACTATTACCAGAAGTAGTTTTTGTAAAAATTATCTCGATCTAGGGCAGCACTACCTCCTAAAGGTACTTGATATAGACCGCCATGTTGAATCTGAGGCCCAGTGGGAAGATGAATGGAGGCATAATGTCGCCATCACTAGTGATCACTCCAAACAACTTCGTAATCACCATCAGACTCATGTGGATGCCAAGCCAGTACAGCATGCCGTTTCTAAATTTCTGGCAGAATAAATTGTGTCATGGTGCTCTTTTTATCACAAACGGTGCCCAACTGACCCCACTATACTCTGCAGTCGATAAAATAAAAACAAACAACTGGCATGCGCATAATTAAAAAAAAAAAAGGCGAAAATTTACTCATCGCATCCTTTATAAAGAAAGCACTGGCGCTATATGTTCAGAATAGGTGATTGATTAATTGTTTTTTACGGTTTATCAACCACTGATTATTCAAAGCCAGAAAATATTTTTTTGAATGCAAGAACGTTTTTTCAGATAATAATGATTTACTAATACAAGCCCTACTATTTAATCCATAACTGGGGGGAGAGAATATTGATTCATATCTTTCCCAATGGTATTTGTGAGTAAGTGAATACAACTAACTCGACTGGAATTGGGACTCGGCTCTCCGATTTGCAATCTCGAGACGTTATGCATTACACCATCCACACATCCAAGCTTACAGCACCTGTTGTTCCTAAGTGGTCACTAATCTCGGTACTAACCAAGCTCGACGTTGCTTAACTGCTGTGATCGTTCGAAAACTGGTATTTCAACGCGTATGTTCCAGTGATCCTTATATAGAGTGGCCACTTTGACGTTGTGCAGTTGTTAGCGTGTTTTTCTCTCGCTAGATCAGCTTACAACTGAGTAGTGAGTTCGTTCCTCCCTGGGTGTTCCATATTTGCAGCGTTATTCTACATTTAAGCAACGTTTAACCAATCATGAGGATTCGTATGTATCACGTGAGCAACCTACGATAGTTAACGAGAATCAACGCAACCTATCACAAAGTGATATACAATATTAACGACAAGCATTCTCAACTATTCAACAAAGCTAAAGGTCTTAACACTTCCATTAAAACAACTGTGAAATGAAACAGCTATAGTAATGAATCTTCTAGAAGTTACAAACAAAACGTTTAAAGTCTAAATGCGGCCGAACTTTATATATAATCATGACAAAGCCAGTCTGTCTATATTTCTGAGATTAGTTATTATGTACACTATTTACATTAGTCGGACTATTGTCCTCATCTTTGTCGCCATATTTGTCGCAACGTTTTGGCCGTTGTACACTCCGGCCTTCTTCAGGTGGTTGGAATTTCGAACTGAACCCTTTATTTCGCTCACTGGGGTAGACTGTTCGAGTTCCACGTACCATGTTTAATGGATGTCAGTTAGCAGTTATCTCCTGCTAATTTTCCCTCTGAAAGTTCTCCACTGCCTTAACTGGGTATTGAACTCAGCTTCTTTGGGTCTGTCACTGGATCTAACCAACGCCTTTATCCACTGTCTTGAGGACATCTGGGTATGAACTTCTGGGTATAATAAATCTAATGTTTTCAGCAATCATTTTTTACCAGTGTTCATATTGCAATTTTGCTGTTATCATTGCATGTTTTTACCAGAGTTCATATTGTAACTTTGTTATCATTGCTTTTCTCTGGCACTCATTATTACTGGTTCCCATATTGTATTTATTTCTATGCTTGGTCGGCTCAGGAGATTTTTGTGGCCTAGCATATGTGCTGATTCCTTAAGTTTTCGAATTTTCCAATGGACATGGACAAAGACATTGTCGAAAAAACTCTCTCTATTTTCCGGACATTTGTAGGAACTAAGAAAAAGTTTGAATTATCACAACTGAAGTTCACATACAAAATACGGGCCCTTTTCAAAAGAGTTAATAACATTCTCGAGTAGGTAAATAAAGCGAGACATATTTTTATTTTTGCCGTCTCTCTTCAAGGCGTGGGCGATCATGTCTCACCGTGATTTCCTGTCCTTTGTAGCCCTTGGTAAAGATTGTACTTTGAGTGGTCACTGTATTGTGTGATCATCAGTGAAAATAGTAGTTGACGTTGTAGGCTAATGAATTTGTTAATTTTAACCGATGATAAAATGGCGGAAACATGAGGACCAGAAAACATAGCAAAGTTACCATTTAGAGAAAATATGGAATTCTTCAGTGTCTTTATGTCGATCCCGAGAAAGGAGTTTTTTTTATTATTTTGAAAGCTGAAAGGACGTCGATATGAATGCGTGACGTCACAAAGGGGAATACTTTGAATTGGACGAATGAACCATTTCAGGCTACTCGTCCTTTCATTAATATTAAATACTGGAATATTCTGGATAGACCTCGTGTTTACTTACTTAGGTTAGACAAGCTTCAGTGAACCTAGTTAATGTGAGTAAGTGTTGTTCCTGGCCTGCATCCCGGCCGTTCTTTGGTTATGATCCAAGTCGAGATTCCCAACCTCCCCAGTTTGTTTTGACCCCCCCACTTTTCATCTCGACTGGGTTAGCTTTATATTTTCCCATTCCCGCCTAATATTTTATACTTTTTCCCACTCCCTTAGCGAGAGTGTATCTTGATTTTGTCCCCTGGGCAGAATACAGCGGCCTCTCTGTTTTGCGGGTTGGACGGTCCCTGATAACATAAATTATGTTTAGTTTGTATTTGTGTTTATTTTAAGTTTATTATTGGGTCCATTTCCCTCCCCTCTCATTTTATCATTATTAGAATTGTATATATATATCATCATTAAAATGATGGACGAGTTCTTTTGTTGAATGGGTAAATTGTAATGTACGAATGGGTCGTGAATCTGATTAGCTAGGTATAAGATAGTTAGTGCTGACCAGCCTTTACCCCTCCCCTTTATTGGCCTTGTGCCACAATTTGTACTTTTTGTATGAATAAATATCCAGAAGATGGAAAACAAGGAATACACTGTTTGTGGAATCTACTGATCATAGTATTTCCAACACAGGCTCTTTCAGTCTAACTGGCGCAAGACATTCTTCCTTCAATTCTTCATTGTTTGACCTTGTGTCAGATTAATGTCTACTTCATAAGTATCAATAGACAAATCATCACACTGACATATTGAGAGTTATGGGGAAGGTGCTTTGTAACATGTAGGGGCTCTACAGCTTGGCTCGTTCAGCATATTGACGTGACATTAATTCCACAGATAGTCGAAGACCTTTAAAATGCTTTCTTCCTTGTTGAAGTTCTGGATTAGTCACAAACATAAAAAATGCCGACATTATTTAACTAGGAATATTTCATCAGAATATGAACCATTGCAATTTTTTTTTTGGTGAGGGGTATTTCTACATATCTTTTGAAAATGAAATCCCCATGAGAGATTGCATTGTGATATAAAAATCTACTGAAAATATTCCGCAGTGCCCCCATACATTTACTACGCACACACATAGGCCTGCGCACATATCTACACATAAAAGGGTACCACTAAGCACAGATGTAGACACAATTATACATGCAAACACAGATGTACATAAATACACAGATATTTCTTATTAAAATGTGTGTGTGTAATTGAATGACAAATTGTAAAAATCTTACGTTTCGTCTTTCGAAAATGTTTCTTCAGACTAATAATGGCTTTATCGGTGGAATCTTATACTTGCAGGAAGAAGAAACACCAAAGAAGGATGGTCTATTAAAGGAATTTTTTTTCTAATTCTCAAAGTAGTGTGGAATGTCAATATTTCAATTATGTCATTATTTTCCCTTTGTGTTACACGTGCTATCCATTTTAGTTTTTACCGCTGCTGAAAGTCTTCAATGGATTTGATTTCAGTTTTTTAGCCTGTGACGCTGTGGCGCCAGTGTACGAGGTGTGATGAAGGATGGTTCTCTCGAAGACCGACAATGTCCATTCGCTCGAAGCCATTTTTAATCACGGACTAGTTTCGCTATCTTTGTTGTTAGTAACACAACATCGATCGTTTTTCCCTATGGCCGTCTTCAAATGTCTGTTGATTCCTATGAGCTTCAATGTTACCACTGAGTGCATGTCAGTAATATACGGTCCAGATACATGTGACAATAGCCCAGGAGATTAAAGCTGTTGTTCGCGAATTTGCTGTATGTGTTTGTATATTTATTAAGTGGAAAACAATCTGACAAAAGGGTGAGGTGAAGAATTGATTAAGAAAGACTTTTGCAATAACCGATGCAATAACTGAACTCACAATTGCTGTCACCCAATTCAGGAACTAAATTTAGACTATCGCCCTGTGTATATTGTATTGTATTGTACAAATTAAAATCATTGAAAATAGAGCGAGCAATAACTTAGCGGTACTAAAATGAACAAGACTCAATATCCTTAGCCACGGACAAAAGAACGGGAGCAATCTGCCCGTATAGATTAAACAAAGGTTTCGGATCAAAGTTTACCAGCATCGACAGACACTTTGGCGTGATTTCGAGCTATGACCTCTCAATAGCTATTCATAACTTCCTGATATTTGTAGGCACAGAATATTGTGTTTGAATAGATTTCTCCAACTCATACGATAAATGCTTGAATGAGCAAAATTCTGGGAAACTTGAGACCAATGACACGGTGCAATATCTTGCTTGAATTACTCATCGTTATTGAGCTACGCAATAATGGCAAGAGAAAGATTAACCCTTTCCTTACAAGGAATTATTCGACATTCATTGACCGAATAGTTATCATTACTGTTAGTAGAAATATATAAAATCTTTAAAACAGTTTTTGAGGAAATAAGTTTCGCTAGTTCACTGTTATCGCTCTTTTTATTACTGATAGATTTCCTAATCTTGTGTTTGAAGTAGTGTACAAAATCAGCATCTTAATTATGGCGTTTTTTTCTCGTTGACTTACATGTGCTATCAATTTTAGTTGTTGCTGTTGTTAAAAGTCTTCAAGTGATGTGGTTTCTGTTGTCTGTTACAGTTCTTTATGGTTGTGTAGCACCAATCCACAAGGTTCAAAGAAGGATGATCTATTGAAAGGGGTTTCTTCCTAATGCTCAAAGTAATGTGAAATGTCAGTATCTTTATTTACTCTTTGAGTTACATGTGCTATCCATTTTCATTGTTGCTGCTGTTGAAAGTCCTCAAATGTTGTGTTTTCTGTTATCTCCTTCAGATCATTGTGATTGTGTTGTGCCAGACCACAAGGTTCAAAGTAGGATGATATATTGAAAGGGGTTTCTTTCTAATGCTCAAAGTAGTGTGGAATGTCAATATTTCAATTATGTTATTATTTTCTCTTTCACTTACATGTCCTATCCATTTTAGTTGTTGCTTCTGTTGAAAGTCTTCAAGTGATGTGGTTTCTGTTATCTGCTACAGTTCTTTGTGATTGTGTAGCACCAGCCCACAAGGTTCAAAGAAGGATGGTTATTTAAAGGAGTTTCTTCCTAATGCTTAAAGTAGTGTGAAATGTTAGTATCTTTATTTACTCTTTGAGTTACATGTGCTATCCATTTTCGTTGTTGCCACTGTTGAAACTCTTCAAGTGATGTGGTTTCTGTTATCTGCTACAGTTCTTTGTGATTGTGTAACGACATTCCGCAAAGTTCAAAGAAAGATGGTCTATTAAAAGGAGTTTCTTCCTAATACTCAGAATAATGTGGAATATTAATATTTTGATTATGTCATTATTTTCCCTTTGAGTTTCACGTGCTATCCATTTTAGTTTTTACAGCTGCTGAAAGTCTTCATTGATTTTGATTTCAGCTTTTTGGTTTGTGACGCTGTG